AACGAGTTGCTTGTGCATTCCAAGTGGAAGCTTGTTGCGACAAGTTTGTCCCGCGGTAGTTGCCTTTGTTATTTGCATTCGTGCTAACCGGTGCTTGCTCGGCTTCTCTAAATGTTTTCGTACGTTTGTTGGGCTTCTTAGTCCTTCAGGGTGTGATTCATTTTGGGGGGCTAGTGCGTAGTGTATGTCGTGGCGCGTGAGTTGTGACTGGTTTGTGCGAGTTGGATGGATCCCTGCCTTTGCAGCGAACTCCACTAGTGCATTCCTTGCCAGCAGCATGGCATACCAATGCCTTGGCCAGCAGCATGGTATGCCATGGCCTTGGCCAACAACATAGCATGCCACGGCCTTGGCAAGCATGCCTTGTCCCTTAGGTAATTGCCATTAGGTTTGGCTTTGACTTACGTACAAGTTGCCTTGTGAAATGCATGTCCCTCGGGTAATTGCCACTTCGCAAAGTGGGCTTAAAACTTGCATTTGATGAATTGTTCCAATTCAAGTAATAAAGCCTTCATCCACAGGCATTAATGCAGTTTAACATTTAAGCAAATAGCCTCATGGCAATCACGCTAACATGGCAATCACTTACACTCATGCAAGAATGCCAAAGCGTAAACACTTACAGTGTACTCCAAACCAAAACAGAAGACTAGTTAGAAATAATGCATGATCCTAACTATGTTAATGATGCCTAATGCAACACGTGCAATAATGCAACTAAACAGGCTCGGCTATCTAAGATGGCATATGAATGCGACTTGATAACATGCTTTAAAACACGTATTCAAGTAAGTGTTGAAATACAATGCAGTTTGAATGACGCGCCAAGCCCAGTGCGTGCAATACAAATGAATGATGCAAACATGCAAACATAAGGTATGCTAATTGAAATATGACCCTAAGCTAACCATCGAAAGCGGTTAAACAAAAGGGAGAAAGACGCGGGGTTGGAAGACATGCACACAAGCACGCACCCTTATTAAAACATTGCGCCCTCTCAATGGAGGGTCTGAATGAATAAGCTAAGCTAATCTAAGCTAAGCTAATCAACTAATCTAATTAAACTAATTAGACTAATTATTGCACAACCAATCAAATAACTGGTAAACTACTTACTGATTATTACAACACTTTAGCTAATTATCAAACTAATTAATTAAATTACAAATTCATGCCAACTAACAAGTAAAGCTCGAGAGCTTTTCGACGAAAAATGGCTCCATTTGTGAAGAATTCGCAGCTGACATGAAGAAACTATGAAGTTCAACCTTTTGTAGAAGATAAGGCAGTGAGTGGAAGCTAGGTGCCAACAATATGGACGTTCTTCACTTTGGTGGCCGGCAGGCCACTGCTGATGGCTAGCAGGCCATATTGGTGGCCGACAGCCTTTCTCCTTTGACCGGCACCCTTCCTCTCAGATATGTCGTCCATCCTTGTGCTAAACATTGTTGGAAGCATATGTTTTTTTTTTGCTCTTTGTGTGTTTTAAGGTCTTGTTTTAAGTCCTTTTGGTTTTATCTAGCTTGTTGAGTTGTATTTGAGTTGTTTTGTTTATCGAGCTGTTGTTGTGTTGCTTATCGAGTTGTATATCGCATTTTGTATTTTGGTTGTTGGTTGGTTTGTTACCCGATTAAGCGTCTTGTTTTAATCAAACACTTTGGCCATTTCAATTCCCTGTCCATTTCATACATATATGGTGCTCATGATGCAAAAAATGACAACACATTTTTTCATAAAACTGCCGATTTTATTTCAATCATGGCTTTTTACAAAAGTGGAGTACAAGTTTTAAACCAAAACAGAACTTCCTAAAGCTATACATGTGCTAATGCTATAAAACAAAAAAAAAATTGAGCAAAAATACAAAAATCAGCGCTGGTCGCCTCAGGCTCGAGAAGCCCTCTTCGTCCTCTTCCTCTGAGGAAAGGACTCAGGGGCACTGTCTCCGTCAGTGCCGCTGTTTGAATTTGTCCCAGAATCTGAGCTGGAATCTCTGTCGCTCTCTGCTCTAGAGCCTGACTCAGCATCACCTCCACTCTAAGATCTCGAGTCACCATCATCTCCATCCTCGGAGGACTCAGACTGTGGAATCACTGCCTCTCTAGAGTCACTGGTCTCAGCATCATCGTCACTCAACACTGGCTCTAAAGGGCTCCTCTGATTCCTAGACGCTTCTGAGCAAGATGCCAAGTGCGGCAACTGCATCCAGAGTGGACACGATATTCATATCGCTAGGTTGCAAAAGTTTGAAAAAAGCAGTGTGATCAGCATCGGCTTCCAGCAATGTGGTAGAGAGGAACCCCCAGTTACGCACTAGTGTCAACATTCAATCAGGAGGCGGTAAACAACTTTTGTTGCTGAATGTGGCAGCAAGAAGGTCAGAGATACGAGTGAATCTAATCGATTCGCAGATCATTTGAATCACAGTGATCAATGACCTCACGCGATTTGCAGAGGAGATCGTGGAGGTAGCCAGACCATTTACGGCATCAACGAGTGTGATCCGGCCAAGGGCTATGTTGTTCATACCTGTCCCGAAAGTACGTTCTAGGGCATTGTAGCTGCCATCGTAACCCAAGAAAGTGGATCCAGGAATTAGATGTGAAGTAAGAGAAGTATGCCCGAACTCCAACCACTCAAAATTCTCCATTTGGTAGGCGACCAAGTAAAGGTTATCCCGTCGAATCCTCAGCCTAATCCAATGATTGTTGGTTCACAGTATAATGTCGAACCATCGAGTGGGTGGATCCTGCTGAGCGGGAAGTACAGGAATATTGTGTGAAAAGGTCTCTCCCAATTCAACACGCAAGTCCTTAATGAAGTCCCTATAAGCTCCACTACCCCTTTTAACGTTGAATTCTTTTGTGAATTTTGCCATTAACTGAATTCAATCCTGCCATTGACAATAATAATCAATTAATTGAAAAAAATAAAACACTTACAGTCAAAGAGACTTATACAAAAAATAAAATAACCATAGCCAAACCCCCCTCCCCCCCAAAAAAAAGCTTAAAAGCATTGGACACAAAACAAAAAGTTATAACATTAAAGAAAAGTTCATATATAAACCATGAAACTAAAATCTCAAAAAAGAACACAACATTAAATAGCATATCCAAAAGTCAATATCAAGAAGGTCATACATAAACCATGAATGTTTTTTTTAATTAAAATTTATAAACTTGCATGCACTACTGTTAAGGAATTACCAAAAAGAAAAATAGAATTTATACCCAAAAAATATTTAATTGTAGGTTGAATTAAGTTTTGAAAACTCATCACCAAACAAATTTTCTTATTTCACATGTCACATCAAACTTTCAAAACTCAATTCAACACTCTATTTAAAAACCATAACCAAACAAATTTTCTACACTCAAATCATAATTTCACAACTCACAAACTCAAAATACAACTCATACTCTCAAATCATATTTACAAAACTCTACCAATCGCAACCTTAATTTTTTAAGTGAGGTGTCACTTTATTCGTTTATCATACAATACCCATTAGACTAACAAGAAAGTTTTATAGAACGGTTATTAGACCAACGATATTGAATGGGACAGAATGTTGGGAAACTAAAAAATAATATGTAGATAAGATGAGTATTACTGAGATGAGGATGTTAAAGTGGATGCGTGGCAAGATTAGAATGAATATATTCATGAATGGATAGGAGCAGAGATGAACTCAGGATTTTTAGATAGAAGGCGAACATATATATACTAACAAAATTTTTAAAAAGAAAATATGAATTATAATATCAATTTCTACTACTATAAAAAGTGAAAATAAGATGAAAATATATATAAATCACATGTTTTTTGTAGTCACATTTGGTTACAAAAAATAGCATCCATAAAACAATTTATATATTAAAGTGCGGTATCTTGAATTATTGTGCTCAATATTAGTTTATGTCATTAAAATGTCTATAATAGAATCGTATAATGTCTTTATCAATGAACGTGATTAAGTAATTAGGTAATACCTCATTTGATTCTTTAGAAATTTGAAGTTATAATTAACATTGGTTATACGAAACAATTTTTATTTTATATTTTTTAATATTATATGTTGATCTTATGTTTCATACCTACAGAGCGACAATTGCTTAAAATTTGTCTAAAAGAAGAAAAACGTAGAGGGGAAGAGTCTCTATAATATGTAAATAATTATAGTTAACACTACTGTAATAAATGGTGTTTTTGAAATCATAGGGGGCGATTGCCCTCCTGTGTCTATCATTGGGTAAGAGTATCACTGATAGAAGATAAGTTGAGAAAGAACAGATTAAGATAGTTTGGTCATATACAACGAACACCAATAGAGGCAATAGTGAGGAGATATGATAAAGTTACGGTAGATGGAAATTTTAGGGAACGGGGTAAACGTAAATTGACATGGGATAGTATAGTAAATAAAGACATGAACTTCCTTAATTGAATTAACCAAATAGCATTTGATAGAGCCAAATGAAGAAGAATGATTTATGTAGCCAATCTTATTTTATGGAACTTAAGATTTGGTTTGCACTACAAGAAAACAACCCAAATAACATGGAACTTTTTGCGATGGTATAGGTACCGTTGCAAAAAAGGGTCTTTTGCGACGGCGTTTTTAAACCGTCTCAAAAAATGGTCTTTGTGACGGTTGTGACCCCGTCGCTAAAAAATATATCACAAAAAAACATAAAACATTTGCGACGCCTGATGTACCGTCACAAATTTTTTTTTTTTGAGACAAGAACATTTACTGTCAAAAAAGTCTTATAAAAACGGCGTCGTTTTATTTGTTAGGATTCATCATTTGTGACGGTTTAAATACAACGTCGCAAAAAATAATGAAATTTTTTCTACCCCGCTCATTTTAGCTATTCGCGGTCACGTGTTTCCCCAAAAATCCCCAAACCTTTCTGAACCAACCCAAAATCCGTAAAATCTTTAAAACCAAAATCCCCAAAACCATTTTGAAGCAAAATCCCCAAAGCCTTGAGCCAAAATCAACGACGGTGACGGACGACGAAGGTGATCGACAATGAGTGACCGAGAAATGGCTTTGAGTTTTTTCTCTGAGGTCTGTGCTCCTTCAGAATTTGAAGGAATGGGTGTTTGTAGTAGGTGTGGAAAAGCGAATGGGTCGTGTAATGGGAACAGTTTGTTGTTCTTTGGTTACTCTGGAGCGTTTCGTTGTCTTGTGGGGGGATTTGGGGATATTGCCTTTGTTAGAAGTGATACTGCTTTGCTCTACTCCATGGAAGGTCCTCAAAACCAGTCTTGGTCAACAAAATCTGTTAGAGGTTTCATGTGGGTATATGATATCATTTGGTTCTTCAAATTAACGTGAAGGACCAATATTTTTAATTTGGGTTACTTACACTGTGTTTGGATTGAGTGATTTGGAGAGAAAAGAAAAGAAATAGAGAGAAATGTATTTCTTTTCCTTGTTTGGTTATCTTAAGTGGAGAGAAATGGGGAGAAATAAAGAGAAATGGAGAGAAACTCATTTCTCTCATAACCCTTATTTTCAATCTTCCCAAAAGTGGAGAGATTGGGAGAGAAAAGAAATCCACAAATGTTTATATTTTCATAATACCAATTTTACCCCTATAAAAATAAAAGAAATAAAATGATTGAAAATATAAAAAGGTTATTTTGGTAATATAACATAAAATAATTTCTTTTCTTTTCTCTTAATGAAATCTAACCAAATAAGAAGGAGAGAAATCACAATCATTTCTTTTCTTTTATTTCTTATTTATCCAAACAAAAAGGAGAGAAATTACAATCATTTCTTTTCTTTTCTTTTCTTTTCTCTTATTACTTAAGTAATCATTTCTTTTCTTTTCTCTCCTAAGTTACCAAACATAGCGTTATTGTATTCATGACTAATCCTTTTCCTTAAACAATGTGTGCAGGTATCTTTGTCCACAAGGGGGTTGCAGAGAAATCAATGGCTATCCAGGATCCTGTTCGTAAGTGACCGAACTTCTTGTTGGTATTGTTTTCGTTTTCTTTGTTATCTAAACCAAAACAACGAAAATTCAAAAATACTCACCCATTTTGTATCTTTATGGTTTTTGTGTGAAAACAATTTTTTGATGTAAAAAATGGACTGTTTTCCAAAAATAATAAATTATGAAAGCAGAATGTCAAAACAATGTTTTCTGAAAAATGAAAACGATACAAAAGGTGCTACTCTTTCAAATGTTTATTCATTTCTATTAAAAGATAAATTTGCTAAACATAAAAATGATGTGTGAAAACCTATTCACCCAAAAAAAAATGTGATAATCACTGTTTGGGATGATTTGATAGGGGAAGGGGGGAAGGAACCTAAGTAAGAAATGAATCAGTAAACTGGCCAGCAGCACTAGCATGGTAGAACACAAAATATGAATTGATTAAATTATAAATTTGAAAAAATTGAAGTTTATTGTTACTCTGCTATAATTGTGCATCTGTTCAATGGGTTGAGAATCTAAATGTGTCTACTTATGTTGCACGGACACGGACACGCGACACGACACGGACACGACACGGACACACAAAAACGCAAATTTTTAAAAAATAGGGGACACGACACGCTAGGGACACGTTTAATATACATAATTAATTTTATTTATATATTATATGTAAAATTAAAAAATATATACTATTTGTATTTATTTTTATTTATTTATTTAATTTATTATATGCAAAATTAAAAAATATATACTAATTTTATTTATTATATGTAAAATTAAAAAATAAATATATTATTTATATTTATTTATATTATTTAAGACCAAAAGAAAGGTTAGGGGTTATATTATTTATTTATTTATATTATTTATTATTAGTATATAATTTATTATTAGTATATAACGTATATAGCTATCGATGGTTTAGCGAGAGAGAGAGAGAGAGAGAGAGCAGAGAGGGTCAAACGATGCGCAGAGAGGGAGACGAGGTCGATGGTCGATCGATGGTCAAACGAGGGCGATCGATGGTCGATTGAGGCGCAGAGAGGGAGACGAGGAAGACGAGGAAGACGAACAGGTTAGGGTTTCTTCTCTGTCCTCAATCTGTCTATCTCTTCCCTCGACCTATCTCCCTCTTTCTCTCTTCCCTCGATCTGTCTCTGTCTCTGGCTCTCTCTCTTTCTCCTCTCCAACTGTTCTAGGGCTTCTTCGATCCACCCACCTGCATGTCTGAATCGTGTCCTCGCGTGTCCAACCTCGTGTCCAACTCTGAAAAATTCTGAAAAAAGGAGGACACGCAGGGGAGAGTGTCGGACACGTGTCAACAGCGTGTCGTACGCGTGTCCGTGTCCGACACGTGTCCGACACTAATACGCAAGCCTCAGGGACGTGTCCGTGCTTCATAGGTTTCTTTCATTGATGTAGAAGGGACAGAAAACAACTTAATAGTCAAGTTTAATTCATTGCTACAATTTTGTTGTTGGTGTTGCAATTATGGTTATAGTCCTCTGCTTATTTTTTATTAGATTTGGAACTGTTCCTGCAAATGTGATCATGGTGAGTAACACCATTCCGAATGAGAAGAAACGTTTTGTTTTGCAAACGTTGCTCAAAGACACCTGGTTTGATGATCTTTATGCCGCAAAAAATGGAGACAACAACCTACTTAGTACAAGGTATTAGGCATTTAGGCTTTGTTAGGACAGTAGTTATTTTCTCTCAAAGTTTGATCATATGTTGATGCTTGAGTAAATTTTAACATGAATCTGAAGAGTAAAAAACTCAAAGATTTTCTTTATTTATTATTATAATTATTATTTTTACTTCTTTTCTGTGTAGCATGCAAGGGTTAGAAGTGGTCAAGAGGCTAACAAGGTCATACCTAGGAAAATCAGCTTCGATTTCCCAAAGCATACAAGAATTAAATAACACAAGTGTCTCAGGTATAACTCTCTCTCTCTCTCTTTCTCTCTCTCTCGGTAGTGAAGTATTTTTTTAAATGTTCGACGTATGTCACAAGGTGAAGCAAAAAAATTGATTTGGTGGATCATATTTATCACCGGATATATATATATATATTTTTGCAGATCAGCACAACAAACACCATGTACACACCATATTTACAAAAATATATGCTAATGATCACCCAGTGATTAGTATTAGTCTTGATATACGTGCTAAATGTGTATAAAATATGCAAAAAGTGCTTAGTATTCTAACTATTTTGGTATTACCTCCCCCTTAAAGATAGACTATAGGTTATCATTAGCATGATCCTTTGAAAAATAATAGTGAACCTTATTATTTTCTAGATATGATAGGTCTTATATTTATACATATGGTTCGTTTGAATCCACATAGGAGGTAAAAAGAAAGGGGGGTAAATATTGATGTATCATTTTCTTAGTCATCAAACTAAGACATACATTGTTAAAAAAAAAGGTCTCACATTTGTATTTGACTTGTTTCATTGTTCTAATAATTTTGTACTCGCTGTAAAGCAGTGTCATATATTTGCGGCTTGATGGATCAGTTGAACCAGAAAAGCGTTTTGATATTGTAAACGCTTTCAATTCAGACCCTACTATTGATGTACTACTGCTCACTACACATGGTAAGATTTTATTATATACAGCATACAGTCTTAGGTTAGGAATTTCACTAACCTATAAATTCTCCTTCCATTCTTCATTTGCTGGGCCATTCTAAAAAATCCTCTCCTCTTACCTCTATTCAAATAGGACCTCTCTCTCTCTCTCTCTCTCTCAACATATTATCTAGCAGCAAAATGGTGTTACCAACTTATGGGAGTATACATAGGAAAAATTAATAAAAATTTGGACAGAAATATCAAATTGAAATTAGATTTAAAGTGTAGGGTTTGAATTGTTCAAATTAAAACTATGGAGATGAAAGTGAATTTTGAGTCAAACTATAAGGGTGAAAAGTGTAACTGACCCATATTTATTTTCTGTTCTATATTTTGGGGGGCTTTGTTTCATTGTGGTCATAATGAATGACTAGTGGCGGGTGCACAGGCTATGTCTACACGGTACACGTGTGCAACTTCATATCTAGTTTCTTGATTGTGTTAGTGTTATGTCATCTCAGGTTCATGTCAAAATCCCCTCAACACTAGTTTTAGTGAACAACTATTCCTTGTTTACATCTGAAAACTTTATTCAACTGGAAACGTGCTTATTTTTGGCACTTATTTAGATGATTGTTGGCTATCACATGTTATTTCTTAACTATGTCAGATAATTGTGGGCATTCCCTTTAACTATGAATAACATGACATGACATACCTGCAGTGAGTATAAACATAAGATCATTCATGGGATATTTTAAACTGATCGTTTAAACTGATCTTATTTTTTTGGTAATATTTTAACTATGAATGATCTTATTTTGCAAAATGTTTTAACGATCAGGTTTTAACTATGGTAATATTAACTATGGTAATATTTTTAAAAAATGATCAGTTTGATTTTTCAGGTTTTAACTCAAACTGATCAGTTTGATTTTTCAACGATGATCAGTTTAACACGATCAGTTTGATTTTTCAAAATATTACAAAAATTTGCAAATAGTGAGTTTTCAACTATAAATGTACAAACCTAGTCGGTGACTTCTCAGAGTTCTCTCTCCTTCGCCTTCGCCTTCTCAAAGTTCTCTCTCCTTCACCTTCGCCTTCGCCTTCGCCTCTCTCCCTCTATCTCGCTTCTCTCTGTATCTCGCTTCTCCCGTCTTATATAATAGGTATATTGAGTTGAATGAATTACCAAATGGGGAAAGATGTAGAAATTAGACGAAAGATACTAATGCCAATTAAGACAATTTTAAAATTCATAGCATTTAAAAACATGATATTGCAAATCCTGCAAATCATGATGAAAATTTCCTTCAATAAAATTGTCAAGAACTTTGCTTTAAATGCGTTAAGGGAGACAATTTTAATACCATCATGAATATTGCTCAACTCATTGGATTACAAGGATACCCATGTTACCACTGCTGTACGTGGCACAATTGGGCATATTGCCCCTGAGTACCTCTCCACCGGAAAATCTTCAGAGAAAACCGATGTTTTTGGGTATGGGGTCATGCTTCTGGAGCTCATCACTGGACAGAGGGCTTTGGATCTTGCTCGGCTTGCCAACGATGATGATGTCATGTTGCTAGATTGGGTAAGCATTTATCACACTCGCAATCTGTTTGTATTATGTTAGCACGTTTCTTAAGTTGGATATCTTCGTATGATTGATTGAGTTCATCTTAAGAGCCTTTTTTGAAAGCTGCTTTCAATTTCTTGGCAAAGCTGTTATCTATGAAGCACGGACACGTCCCTGAGGCTTGCGTATTAGTGTCGGACACGTGTCGGACACGGACACGCGTACGACACACTGTTGACACGTGTCCGACACTCTCCCCTGCGTGTCCCCCTTTTTTCAGAATTTTTCAGAGTCGGACACGAGGTTGGACACGCAAGGACACAATTCAGACACGCAGGTGGGTGGATCGAAGAAGCCCTAGAACAGTTGGAGAGGAGAAAGAGAGAGAGCCAGAGACAGAGACAGATCGAGGAAAGAGAGAGAGAGGGAGATAGGTCGAGGGAAGAGAGAGACAGATTGAGGACAGAGAAGAAACCCTAACCTGTTCGTCTTCCTCGTCTGTTCGTCTTCCTCGCCTCCCTCTCTGCGCCTCGATCGACCATCGATCGCCCTCGCTTGACCATCGATTGACCATTGACCTCGTCTCCCTCTCTGCGCATTGTTTGACCCTCTCTGCTCTCTCTCTCTCGCTAAAATTTTCGACGCAACCATCGATAGCTATATACGTTATATACTAACAATATATATACATATATATATATATATATATATATTTATATACTAATAATAAATTATATACTAATAATAAATAATATAAATAAATAAATAATATAACCCCTAACCTTTCTTTTGGTCTTAAATAATATAAATAAATACAAATAATATATTTATTTTTTAATTTTACATATAATAAATAAAATTAGTATATATTTTTTAATTTTGCATATAATAAATTAAATAAATAAATAAAAATAAATACAAATAGTATATATTTTTTAATTTTACATATAATATATAAATAAAATTAATTATGTATATTAAACGTGTCCCTAGCGTGTCGTGTCCCCTATTTTTTAAAAATTTGAGTTTTTGCGTGTCCGTGTCGTGTCGCGTGTCCGTGTCCGTGCAACATAGGCTGTTATTGTGTTGCTAATATGATTCAATGAGTCGAGCAATATTCATCATGGTATTAAAATTATCTCCCTTAACGCATTTAAAACAAAGTTCTTGACAATTTCATTGAAGGAAATTTTCATCATGATCTGCAGGATTTGCAATATGATGTTTTTAAATGCTATGAATTTTAAAGTTGTCTCCATTGGCATTAATATCTTTGGTCTCTCCAATGAGCACTTATTATTTAGTGTGACATCTCTGAAAATTTCAGGTAAAAGGACTTCTGAAAGAAAAGAAGTTGGAAATGCTAGTTGACGAAGATATGCAGGGTAATTACATCAATGAAGAGGTAGAACAACTAATCCAGGTGGCATTGCTCTGCACACAAGGCGCCCCATTGGAACGCCCCAAAATGTCGGATGTTGTCAGAATGCTCGAAGGTGATGGATTAGCTGAGAGGTGGGAAGAATGGCAGAAGGAGGAGGTATTCCGCCAAGAATATAACCATACCCGACAACCAAATGCTGATTGGATCATCGCGGACTCCACTTCCAATCTCCGCCCAGATGAATTGTCCGGTCCCAGATGACCCTTTTGTTGTCAAATGTGATATTTTCATCTTTGTGCATATGATTTTCTTCTATTTTCTTTTTTTTCAAAGTCAAGTTTGTATCATGTTCGGAGTTTTGATGATGATATGTCGTGGTGTCTATAAGGTCGCCGCTACATGGCATTATGAATTTTCAGGTGCAAGAAAAAAATCATGGCTTGAAAGGGCCGTGGAGGCACCAGTTGAACGTTTATGTTTATGTATCCAAAAACAAATTACACTAATAAATAAATAAATACATTCTTTTGTCCAGAGGCAAATCACAACCCCTGTTTTCTGTTCTTAGAGTACTTCATAAAGCCTTTTTTTTTTGGTGCTTCGGGTTTTTGTTTTTCTGTTTTCATTTTTCAGAAAATACAAAAATCTCACTCATAGCCACTGACTTGCCAACACCACAACCAGTATCATCATAACAACATAGAGGAAGGGCTTGTTATCTTTCATTCTACTCTCACACTCAGTGAGGACATGTTTGGTTGGAAAGATTATAACATAAATTCAGGATTATTAAATGCATAGAACTCACATTCCATTAGTTGATTATAATTTTTTCTTATTTAGAGTATATTTAATTTCTATCTAACAAAATCAGTGATTTTTTTAATCATACAATTAAAGATGCAAAACAAACGTGAAAAAGAGAAAATTATTGATCTCACTAATCTAGCTGTATAACCAATCTTACATTTACCTCATTGATTATTAATTTCTTTACTATTAATAGTCTTAATCAAACATGGCCGCATTGAAGAAGAAAAAAAATGAGCTGTGAGATGCTTGATTAAACATTAATCCATTTGGTTTAGTTTTAGAATTATGATTTGAATGCAGAGTTATGTTTTAAATTTTGAGTTTTTGAATCATGATTTGAAAAGAAAAAATTTATTTAGTTATGAATTTTGAAAATAATTTTAGGATGATCTGTAATTTTATTTTATTTTTGATTAATTGATGTACAAAATGTAAAAGAATGTGAGAGGAGAGTTGAGAGATGAGAGAAAAAGTGATTGATTGATTGAATAATAATAATAATTAAAAGATAAGAACAAAATTCTGAAAGTAATTTTGAATTATATTTTAAAAATATATTTAGTTAACATGTTTCATCCAAATCATAATCTAAAAATAGAGTTGAGTTTTGAAAAATAAACCAAACGCTACCTAAATTGTTATATGCTTTCAACTTATAAACACCCTCAATTCTAGAAAGACAAAAAAAATCACTCAAGCTGCAAAAAAGCACGAATTGTAAATCACAACAAATTTTGAAACCCACCAAAGTACTACAAACTCACATGAGGCCAGCTACTTAGGGCCAATAAAAGTATTTTTCCATAATTACTTCCCAACTAGTTCAAATCTGAAAATTTGAAAATTTGTGTTAATGTGTTCTTAATTGGCTTGCAACTGTTATATGCTATTTTTTTTTAATGTTTAAGTCTTGATATGTAAACTGTGAATTTATTTTTGTCATGCCCTCAAAATAATATAGTAAATACAACCCAATCATATGTTAATAACTGTATAAATCAGAGTAAACAGTCCTTTCATTTCATGAAAGTTAAAGATACAAAAGAGTTTAACAAAAATAAATACCCTATTGGCTTACACCTTTTCAAGCCTTAACTTGGTTACAACAAAAGTGAGCTTTTCTCATTACATCTTAAGCCCTTGGCTTTACAAAAATATACAATCAAAATAAGAAGCTCTTGCTCCAAAGAATTCCCCCCACGCTATTGCCTTGGTGGAGGTAAGTTACCAACACCTGAAAATGTTATTCCCAAATAGAGTGAGCCATAGTCTAGTAGGAATCATCTAACATAGTATATGAAATTTAGCAAAGGTATAAGTACAAGAGTATATACAATGTCTATGATAAAACATCCACAAATTTATATATATGAAAGGTACCATATTCAAATCTTAACCCATTTTCCTTTAATCCATATTCCGTTCACTTATCTTTCTCAATTTATGAGTCAAATTCGTAATTTCTTTAACAATCCAAATAAGACCACAACTCAATGATTTTCAAATCATACAACACATATACATTAACACTTCAAACTTCCATTTCACGGATATTTCGTCTGCGGGCAACCGTCAAACGGGATCCATGTAAACGTAAGCTATACAAGCACTACAATTGCCATTTTACGGATATTTTGTTCGTGGGTTAGGCACCCATGTATAATTTCGGGACTTTCACTTAGGACAATCTGACCAACTTAGTTATAATAGAGTTCATCCCCTTTCTCCTCCAAAACAAACATACATATACAATGTATTTAAACACAAAATCCAACAATGGAGTACATCCACTTTCCACTCCCACATAATTATACATGTGCAATGTATATAAACATAGTCATATTTAATGACAACCAACCATGAACTAGTTTCAATTCACCTAATTCACATGCAATTTCTACAACAAGCAAAACTATCCTCTACCGATAGTCCAATACAGATATTTCTAAACATATATACAATCTTATGACAGATAATTTATCCAAAATTTCCAAAGATGTGAAGTATTATATACTCAATTCTTCTATTTATTCCATCACTTGCTCAATTTCATATTTATCCCACCAATTTCAATTATTTATATAAAATAATTATGATAGTCAATTTAATCTCCCTTTTCAAATATTAACTCAAGCATCAAACTCAACTATTTTGATCCAACATAATTTCATTTTCACAACCCACATTCATTTATTTCATATTCAACAACTTTCCATATTATACCCAAACCCTAGGTTTCCTTGAAACACCCCCAACTCACATCATTGTTACACAAGAGACAAATAACTAAGCTAAATATCATATGAAGGTACAGAAAAATCCCTACCTTAAAGAGAAGACCAAGCAAAGCAAGGGAGAAACCTCAAAGACGCTGAAAATTAACTCCAATCGGATCAAGATGAAATCTAAGAGAGAATGTGAGTTTTATAGAGAGAAAGTGTAGATCTAGGTTTTTGAGAAGTTCTAGAGAGAGAGAGAGAAATGAAAAAGTGATGCAAAACCTCATCTTCACGAACTGTTATACACGCAGTCCGCTTTAGCGTGGAAAGTGACGTTCAAGCGTCAGACACAAAAGTTTGCTCGAGCGTGAAAAGTGGCGCTTGAGCGCAGAATACGCACTTTCAGAAGTTTTACAGATGAAAGCCCCCGCTCGAGCGTGAAACTGGACGCTCGAGCATCTAATGTATTCTTCCAATATTTGCTGGTCTGCAAAAATACTAAGAGTTAACAAATCCAGCTCGAGTACAAGAATGACCGCTCGAGCGGAGGAGCAAAATTTGTGAAGCTCGCTCGAGTGCAAGAATGCATGCTTGAGCGGAAGAGCTAAAATCTGGGCATCACAGTTTTGAAAAAAACAAGCAACCAACCTACTTTAAACGCACAATTACAACCCGATAACCAAAATAAAAGGGGAGACAAGGGGAACAAGATATGAATAACCATTCTAAACCATACCAACCCGAGTTCGGAATACAATAGATAACGGGTCAAAATTGGAGTCGCTATAGTTTTACCATGCATAAATTACTTTATGTTTAGTTTGGCTTCGTAATTATCTTGACCATGCTTTGCTATAACCGAGAACATAATGCACTTAATAAAGGAGAAATAAAATGGGGTGGTAATGGGTTGCGATCATTGTATTAAATTTTATGTGATAATGAATGATGGATTCAAAAGTACAATATACTGGAATGTATTCCATTTTGGTGAAGTTTTGCGCAAGTGTGTTTTCAAACCCTAACATGGCACGGGAGGTATTCTGGCTGCTTAATAGAATTGGGAGGTATAAGGGTGGCAGTGAGGGTCTCACACAGAGAGAGTATCCCTGGAAGCTCGTTCCCTTGGGACAGATCGTGATGTCACCAGTCAAGTATATAACCTAGGTGCGTAGGCATCATTGGTAATTGTGCGGTAAGCGACGAACTGGTGTGTAGTGACCCACATTTCATGTTCTCATTATGTTCATGAGCATCTGTGTGATTATGACTTGTTTAGTTTGCATGCGTATGTTGTAGTTGTTTCGCTTGAGTTAATGTGATCCATGCCTTGTCTTGAAGCCTTGTGATTTGTCTAAGTGTAGTATGCTTGTCTTGTTCCTTCTTTGATGTGAAACTTAGGTCACGGGGCGGTTTGGGGGCGTGACATGGTGATTATGCGGCAAGCGACGCATTAGTATTGTATTAACCAAGGGGAAGTCAGAATTTGCCTATGGCTAATGTTAGTGGTTGGGTAGGAACGACATTTTGCGGGGAGTTACCTAAAACTAACTTAATTGACTGTTATTCATGAACACTGTTATTCATGAGAACTGGAATTAACTATTATTCATGAGAACTGAAATTTATTATAAGCTTTGCTTAATTATTATTTTTGCTGTGTGTTATGATCATGCTGTTATTTTACTTGTATATTTGGAATGGGAAAATAGGCGGGGTGCGTGTATTTACTGGACATTCCAAGCTCATGGCGTTTTATGCCAGTTGAAGGTGAGTTTTACATCGAGAACGGAATCCCTAAAAGCTTTGAAGAACCATGGCTGCCTTAGAGATTAGATTTTATATTTCCTGTATTAATAATCTTTTTGTATGAAGAAACTGATCTATATTTAAAAACTTGAAGAATTTTATCTGTAACTATTATTAATATTTTCTTTTAGTGTAATTATTTGTATTTTGTACTTAAAAATGTTGTCTATCCACTAGTTAAACTCCACTGTATCGTTGTATTATATTATTGATATTCCCAAAATTTGAGGCATTACAAACCTTGCCACTCACAATCTAATGCGCTTATAAAGTGTTTGGTGTAAAACTCGCATTATCAATGAGTTGGTACGTGACAGTGTGCTATGCCAGATATATTTTTCATATTAGTAATAAACCATTGTGATCTAAACTTGGCAATAAATCGCACAAATTATTGGATTCCATTTTTTTATCCATGGATGTATCGATGGACTATGAAAATTAAAATAACCGAACTAAATAACTCACAAATTTGCCAAAAATATTTGATTTCATTAAAAATGGAGTTGTCCCCTAATTTTAAATTTTTTTTTTTTTTTATGGATAAAAAAGCTCTTAACTCTTTTTTAGCCTTGGCCACTGATTTGTCATTACCAGAAAATCAGTTCAAGAATTTGGATATGAGAGGAGAATATCATTAATTGAGCACTTTTCTTACCCAATCAAAAATATTGGCCTCTACTAAATATATAT